AGTTAGGCAACTTGTGAGCTGACAGATTTTTTTAAAAACAATACTGCAAATGTGAAGATATCCTGATTTTTATTACCTGCTCAGTGCAGATCCAGAAGAAAATGTTGGCATTGTACGTTTCTGCAAATTTAATTCATATCATATTAACGTCTCTTGACTCAAGCTACAAATGTACTGGATCCTACACTTCTTATAACTGAACTCAAAAGCCTCTTTTGTTCGGCCCATCCTGGCTGGTAAACACCCTGTTCTTTCAGTCTCCACTCCCCACATGTAATAATTAATAGCATAATTAATAGTCTTAGCTATAAAAACATTTAAAAATTGGAGTGAAATGTCTTGACTGATCTTATGTAATTTAACTCAGTATTGAACATGTTGTCCTGGTTTTGTGTCCAATAAAAAGAAGGATCCTTCTGCTCCTCAGCAGTCTGTAACAGATGTGTCACTCCCTCAGTCGGGTTGTGATGCACGTTGTGACTGCTTGTCATCTTTACTTTGCATTTCCTCAAGGCCTCTTCTTCTTTTTCTATATTCTGTCTTATATCTGTGTGACCTGACCTTTTGTTAGATAGCAGCTTCCCTTTCCCCACTCTCTCTCTGTTTCCCCTCATATTTACTTCCAGTTTTGTTGTTTCAATATTAATACTTGATTAGTTTTTAGGGGCTTGCACACACACAACAATGCACATTTCTTTTACTCAGTATTTTCTCCAGCTGTTCATTGTGGAGCTCTTGTTCCTGATAATTTTATAACTTTGTGTCCTGAGCTTTCTTAAATTCTCTTGGTTTGAGTGTTTCTCCTCCTCTTGACATTTTTTACGTGCTACAACACCACAACTGAATAAGAGGAGACAACAATACTGTAAAACTACAACAAGTCATTAATCTCCACTGTGAAACAGACTTCTCTGGATTTACATTTCAGTTGTTTTAAATTGTTTAAGCGTCACTTTCCCCCCCATTATACTTTCTACTGTTGTATTTTAGCATTTACATAAAAGGTATTTATATGGTATTTATATCCTCACCTGCTATCTCACACCCCTCATAGATGTATGGTAATAATCATCTGCACATACTGGAACGCATTTTTCTCTTTTGCTCGTCCCTTTCTTTACCTGCTGAAGCAGTGAGCAGCACCAGTGTGCCCCCTGCAGGGTTGGAGAGAGACATCCAAGGCCCAAAGCACACATAGGTACATCAAAAACTCAAAAGCATTTCTTTTTGTGGAAAGAAATCCTGTATACAAACATGTCAAGGCTACAGGATTATGTGTGTAACTTAAGAAGATTTTGGTTCAGTTTTTATCCTCTCACTGGACACTTGTAGTTCAGTGTGATCCTCTGATATGATGCATTTACTTACTCCCAAACCCAGTTTTCTATATGTAGGTTAGGGTAGTGTGTTGTCTACAGTATGGTTAACCACTCATCTATAAGCCAGTGCAATCTTTATGCTGTATACAACTGAACTGGCAAATCTCTGAAGAGGAGGCCTCTGTTTCTGTTACACTTATAGGACTGTCCACGAGGGGGCAGTGGTGTACTGGACCTTCCACAGCTGCAACACTGCTGTAATCATGGTGGGAACAGACAGTGCAGTGAGGAGTACCTGGATCTCGCAGGTCTCCTGGGATTTTCTGGCACCATTTGGCCGGTATGAGGCGCTGTAACACCTAGCTCCTCTAAGGTGGACCCCAGCTCTTTGTATATCTCTGCCTCCACAAATAACAAAAAGCACAGAGCACGCATAAAAAACCTTGTGTGAATCATACATTTTGTTTGTTTTAAAAAATCAGACAATATATATATGCATATGTTTCTTCACCATGCTTCTCTCATTCCCATTTGTTACGTTCAACAAGCTCTCTAAGCTCTGCACATGCACATATACACATACAGACATAACATATTGGCAGGCTGTTTAAAGTCACATACAATGAATCATATACCTGGTAACCAGCATGGAGAGGACTATAACAGCTTTGAGAAAAGAAAAAGAAAAGAAGCTGAAAGGATATACTGTACCTTGAAATTTAACCATCTAGTATACATGTAATATAGAGCACAAGAGGCAACATATGATATTTTCTTCCTGGTTTCCTTCAGGTCCAATGGACACAGACATGCAGAAGGAAATTTGAAGGTTAAAAGGTGTCAATTATCATCTGTTACTCTGCCAGGAGTCTGCAGCCAAACTAATGAAGCTGCTTCTGGACAATGACCTCTCCTCAGGAGCACACCTCGACATCTTCAACATGTTATGTCAGTATGAGACAGAGAAAAGAAAAATGATGCCCATCTAGCTCTACTTATTGCATTACTGCAAGTTGGATAAAAGACTGATGCTCTTTGCTGCTACTCTGAGGTGAAAGAGTTAAACGTAGAAACAAATAGAGGACAGTAGACTTGCGCACTTTTTGTGTGTTGTTGATTTTAAGAGCTTATTAAATGGTCAAACATAATTAACTCTACTGTTTAGAGATTTTTTTGTAAATATATGACTGTAATTCTGTATCTAGAGATCACTTTTGTATTTGGATAGATTAAAGCCTTTTACCTCCAACTTTTCATTAACGCACCACAGAACTTTTATTAAAGGAATACTGGTATCAATTACTCACCCCTGTTACATTTAATTCAGGAAGATAACTTTGTTTCTCTCCCATGCCTCTACGGTGAACGAAGAATTAAAAAAAAAACATTCCTCATGAACTGAAGTCATGGGGTGTTCAACAACAGTAAACTATATCAAAACATCTGTTTTACAAACTCTCACGCCACTTATGCAGTGTAATTCAAGTCATTCATACAGTCGTATGCTCGGTACTTCCCAAACACATGCATTCTTGGTAAATGCATATTTTAAACACATCTGTATAAACAGCACAGTTACACTACTTGTCTGTGTGTGAGACTGTTAATGTGGAAGTGTTTTAAATAGTAAGGTTTTACCAGAAATGCACGTGTTTGGAAAGTATGAAATGTACAACTGGATAAATTAAACTTGGATTATACTGCACAAGAATTGTCTCCAGTTTGGGGTTCTTTGTTCACAGTGTTTTCCTCAGGAATTGAACATAACACAGGGTGAGTATTTGATATACAAATGGTCATATTGGGAGTGACATAAAAAAAAGAGTGCTCTGGGTACAATGCATGGCAGAGATACAACTGAAACCTCCAAGTTAAAGGGTTAGTACAGACTTTAATGAAGTGTGGTGTAACAGATACTGGCTAATACTTGGTCTGTGAAGCACTGCGATACACACCAAGCAGACAAAGTGTGAATAAAAATGTGAGGATGTATGCACATATGGGAGTTTTAATGTGAATATGTTCCCAGGGCGTCAGATACTCCTGCTTTGTCACGCCCCTTGGCATGTGATGTTGACGCCAATGGCTCCCTTTAGCATCCTAAGTACTAATATCGTAGGTAACTGGACTTGCTTGCGTTTTTTGAAGACTTTTCGCCTCTCATCCAAGAAGCTTCTTCAGTTCTAAATGACTGGTACAAAGTTGCAGGCTATAAACCCTATGTGGGTGGGAACCTTTGCAGAGTCGTAGGGGTCACGTGAGCTCTAAACTAAGAGCTGAAACCAAAAAACCAAGAGCTCACGTGATCCCTACGACTCTGCAAGGGTTCCCACCCACACAGGGTTTATAGCCTGCAACTTCGTACCAGTCAGTTACAACTGAAGAAGCTTCTTGGATGAGATGTGAAACGTCTTCAAAAAATGCAAGCAAGTCCAGTTGCCTATGATAGTATCACTTACGATTACCATGACCTGGATGACTGAGAATCTTCACCGACTCCCTTTAGCATCTTTATGAGACACACCAGGCTTTCGATGAACTCAAATCCACAGCAATTCTTGATGCTGAGTGCAACTGATTATGTATAAAGAAAAAGAAAAACCACGTGGGCAGGGAGGGAGGGGAGTTGGACAGGTCAAACAAAAACAGACTTTCAACCAGGAAACCAGAGTTGGTGTCCCATGTGGAAGCAAAGGTCAATGTGGTTTTAAGGTAACAAAACCCAATTTAAGTACAGTCATCGCGCACTGGCATTAAACGTGATTTATTTCCATCACGTTATATTCCAAAACATGATCTGTTTCTAAACCTAACCAAGTAGTTTTGTTGCTCAAACCTAATGGCGACCGTTGTGCGTCACATAGATACACCATAGGGTGCCCTCTGCATCAGTATGAGGCCTGACAAAGTGTCGGTATTTGACCTGAATGAGAACAGCTTGATATGTTCAGTATGTCTGTGTGTCAGTCCATCTTTGTCGCACATGTGGGGCCAAACCTGGTAGTCCACTCATAAATGGTATGTGGGGTCTGGGGAGCTCAAGCTGGTCCCCTGCCGGACAGTGTTGTGTTACAACTCATGATGTAATTACAGATAGAGAGAGGGAGTAAGTCACAGAAAGCACCAGAAGAGGGTAGAGACAGAGAGATTGACCAGCTCTGTTTCTGTCAACTTCTCGCAGCTGTCCAACGTCACCACGGACTCTTGACAGACAGCCCCAACTGAGTGCCAAAAATAACCCTCAGGGACCAGGCACCTACCAGTTCGTGGTCGGGGGTGGGGGGATTTCTGCTAACTAACAAGCCAAAAAGCAAAAAAGTATCACTACTAATTTAAATAAATGGACAAATCTGAGGGAATGACGTCCAGTTTTAGTGGTGGTACCAGGTGACGTTGGTTGGTTTTATTGACAAATCAAGACATTTTACATCTCACTGGTCTCATTAGACAAATCCCCACCCACCCATTCTCTGTGTCTGTTGGTACAGTTCAAGAGGTGGATGGCTATTTTAGTACCTCGGGTGTGGAATGTGCAGTTGTCACTCTTGAATGCAGGAGGCACAGATTGGACTACGAGTTCCTCAAATACCCGAACGCTGCATTTAGCTTCCCTCTCCCTCTGAAACGTTCTTCTCTCACACGTTCACTCACTGCTCACCAGCATCTCAGGAACCAGCTACCATGGAGAACGTGGCGATATTTGACTCACCTGGAAAGGGGAGGGGCCTGAAGGGGACCAAGGAATTTTGGGCTGGAGATGTCATCTTCTCCGAGCCCAGCATTGCAGCTGTTGTGTTTGACAGGTACAGTGATGATGCAAAGAGTGGATGTGGATGCTCAGTGGTGGGGGATGTGCTCAGATCTGGCCCTTATGGGGGCATTTCCGCAGCTGAACAATGTATGTTTTTGTAATTTATTTCTCTAGATTTACAATGTAACCACAACATCTTACAATTTCCTGTTTTGGAAGGCTGTAGAGTCTGATTTTGGTCCTTAGGTGTACATTTTTACATAACTGTAAGTGCTGGTAACATGAAAGAACAAGTAGTAAATGTCAATAACCTTCTCTGAGACAATCAGAAACAAAAGTCACTAACTTGAAAATGGTGGGATCACTTTCAAAGCAAAGATGGGATGCATCATTTCATCACATATTGTCAACAGTGTTGTTTGTGATGGATTGTGAAAGGGGCAAACCAGCTATCAAATGTAGAGGACAAAATTATAACGGACAAAAGTTCCAGACTTTTATGTTTAGTTGTATTGTCCTTTAGTGCCAGTAATTTTTCTGAGGAAGACTGGGAACATCAAGTTGAGAATACTTTGTGATGACATGATGTGATCTGGAAAGGAAGAACTCTCAGCTGAAAGATTGTCTTCAAATTGGTAGAAAGAGGAAAAGTACTTGTCCGCCAGTAAAGTACAGTCAACATGCTTAACTCCTCTTTGACAACTATCTCTCAGACTATTGTATCTACAGTATACATGTGCTGTAATATATTGATTATAACCTCTTTCCTTTTTCTCTTTCCTCTCTTTTTCTGCAGTCTAACAGAGCGTATTTGCCACAGCTGTTTCCGCAGACAAGACAAGTTGCAGAGGTGCGGCCAGTGCAAATTTGCTCATTATTGTGACAGAACTTGCCAGCGTGCCGGGTGGGCCGAACACAAGCAAGAATGTGGTGCCATCAAAGCTTATGGCAAAGCTCCGAACGAGAACATCCGGTAAGTGGAAGGAACTGGGGGGTGATAAAAAGGTGTTGATGCTTGATTTTAGTTTTCTTTTCTTTTCTTTTCTTTTTTGTCAACAATATACAGGTTAATAACCCACAGACTAAGAGAAAGAATTACTCTAGTTTTTCTTTGTAATGTAGACAAAACTGTACTTTACTTTCAGTCAATCCTCATTTGGATGAATAATAAATAATTAAACAATAAATTATAATAATAATAATAAATAAACTAAAAATAAACTCGCTTTTGGCACATTACATGTGCATGGACAAAGACATTCCTAAAACGTAACTTAACAGAGCAATGATTCAGGCTTATATAGTGTACTTCACACATCACACAGATGTACCTAACATAGGGGTCCAAACATCCACAAGGTCTCGCTCTGCAGTATCTTAACCTTCAGACACCCTGGAGCCTCCTCACGTGCCTGCACGCAGACAGTGAAGGACTCTGAGGCTGAAAGTAGCTAAACCATGACCCTGGATGAATCATGCATTCATACAATTTCTATTATTATACACCATGACGTTCAAATACTTTCATATTGAAGAATTTTTCCATGGAAGCAAGTTTCTTAAATTGTTTTCCCATCCCATTCACCAGAAAAAATGTCTGCGTTGTACATTTCTGCATTTGTACATTATTTTGTAGTGGATATGTTGAAACATTACATTTCTCAACAATGCTGCAGTGAAGGTGTGGTTGGGTTTGGGCACAAAAACCATTTGGTTATGGACAGGCAAAGATCAAATTTTGATGAAACACCCACATTTGGTGGCTCAAAAGCCGGTGGAGAAGCAGAGACACCCAGGTTTGGTTGCTCAAACTCTACCAGGACACACAACAGTGTGTCTGTGCCACAAACACCGGTGAAAACGCCAGGAAGGGTCGCCAAAAAATGTGTCTCACCATCCATCATCCCTTCTACCTACAGATGACAAAATTAGCTCATATACTACATCACAAACATTACAAACATTGATATGCTATATAGGAAATGTACAAATGTAACATATCTGTGGTATGAAGAAATGTACAACGCCAACATTTTTTCTTGGTGACTAGGCTGTTTTTCACAGTGTACGATTGGTTATCTGTCCTACTAAATCAGAAAAGAAGGTGCAATGTTGATTTTGATCAGAAAACATTAATGCTTAGGGCAACAGCTAGTGGAAATTGATCTTTTTGATGCCACTGTGCGCAGTGTTTATTTCTGCTACATCAATTGTTTTGTTTTTTTACCTTAAGAACCCAGATATGTTTTGTTAATAGTAGGTCAGTGTCAATAAAAATATTAGTCTCAGTAATGTGTGTCCGATGTAATGGTGACCCGCTAAGTGCTCCGTCTTCTTTAGTTTGGTGGCCCGCATCCTGTGGCGCCTCGACAAAGATGGGAGTGTGATGTCAGACATGCAGCTGGTCACACTGGAGGAGCTGGAGGACCACATTACTGAGATGCCAGAAGAGGAGATGCAGGACTTAAAAGTGGACATCCACAACTTCCTGGACTACTGGCCACGTACCAGCAAGCAGCACACAATTGACAGTGTGTCACATTTATTTGGAGTGGTGAGTTTATATGTGTTGTCACTTTATTGGCCATGTCTCATTTTCTCAAGTTGTGTCCCAAATCAGGGGCTTTGTTCCTCAGAGGACAGAAAGACAGGGAGCTGAACCTGCACATCTGCACCAAATTAAACAGTCCAGCCTCACAGAGACCAAACTGTCTTCATTTGTCCTTGTCAACTCGTAAAATCAAATATTTTCATGTTCACCAGCAGCACAAAGCAGTAAAAAGCAGTGGTAAACTCTTTAGTTTATGGCACAAGTTGTATATTTAATTTTAAAGTGGAAGGACAGCTGGAACATGAAGCACCCGGTTGATAGAAAAATGTTAAATATTTGCAAAAGTTATATCTGTCTGTGCTTAGCAACATGTCTCAGCTGTGATAACAACAGACAGAGGAGTTTATACACCCTGGAGTGCAGATCATGTGTGGTATCTACAAGTGGCTAACCCGGTGATAGACGTCATGAGTTGACAAAACTGCCCAAGTTAACCTTTAATCAACCCACTAAGGGTAGTAAAGAGCGTAAAATTCAGGAAAAAAGAAAAGAAATGGCTGCAGTTCTGGTTTACAATGGGACATGTGGTTCCCAGCCTTTTCATCTTGTGACAAAGTGACGTAATATAATTTATATAGCAGTTTGACCAAAGAGCTATATTTCCTTTAAATACTGTTTCATTTACATACGTTTGAGAGGCCTGAAGTATTCCACAATAAAAAAGAAAGACAAACATAATTTGTGTTGCTGAAGAATTTGTGCTCATTTCATATCCAGTTTATCACCTTAATACCCTTTAGATTTATCTTGTGACTGTGTACAATAGTAGGAATTACATGTTGGTTTGACATTGCTTTATTTTTGTCCATAAATGGGCAGTTCACCCCAAAATCAAAATACATATTTTTCCTCTTGCCTGTGATGCTATTTATCAGTCAAGATTGTTTTGGTGTGAGTTGTGAGTGTTATCGGCTGCAGAGATGTCTGCCTTCTCTCCAATATAATGGAACTAGATGGCACTCAGCTTGTGGTGCTCAAAGTGTTCAAAAATACATCTGAAAAACTCAACAACAATGTCTCTTCCCATAAATCATGACCTGGTTACTCAAGATAATCCACAGACCTTGTTGTGAGCAGTTTCATGTAGGAACTATTTTCTTTCTGCCCACCAACTGTATCACTGTGCAGAAGGAATGGTGCATCTATTGCTATGCTAACTAATGTTACAGCTCAGCTGAGGAGGACGGTATTAATGTTTACATCTCGTGCTGTCACGAGCACAAGCTTCTCATCCATGAGTAGATGTATGTTTCCTGTTCTGTGGTGATATAGTGGGTGGGTGTAGTTCAGTAGACAGAAAATAGTTGCTACAGGAAACCGCTCACAATAATGTCTGTGGATTATCTTGAGTAACCAGGTCATGATTTCTGGAAAGAGACATTGCTGTTGAGCTTTTCAAATGAATTTCGGGGCTGCTTTGAGCACCACAAGCCATCTAGTTTCATTATATTCGAGAGAAGGCAGACATCTCTACAGTCGATATCTCCAACACTCGGCAACTCACACCAAAACAACCTAGATTGGTAAATAGCTCTACAGCAAAGAGGAAGAATATGTAATTTGGATTTTGGGGGTGAACTGTCCTTTTAAAAATGAGAGGAAAATCTAAAGCAAACAATGAAGAATACTTTTTTTTAATTCTCACTGTGCACAAGTTGCAAAAACACCCTCTATTGTTTTTCTCGCACATTTAACAGCTCTGTGTCCACATTAATGTTTCCCCTCTTTCTCTCAGATTAACTGTAACGGTTTCACTTTGAGCGACCAGAGGGGCCTCCAGGCAGTGGGAGTTGGTCTCTTCCCAAATTTGTGTTTAGTGAATCATGACTGCTGGCCCAACTGCACTGTGATCCTCAACCACGGCAAGTAAGTGAAACAAACAAACAAAACAAAACAACACTTTTGTTTTCTCTGTCCTTTAAAAATGTAATTATATTCAGCTCATTGCAAATGTTAAAACTTTTCAGAGTTTTGTGTGTGTGTATGTGTTTGCGTGCTATTGTGTGTGAATGTGTGTTTGTCAGGTTGTATTTGGTGTAAAACTGCTTCCTGTTTGTCTTTCAGTCAATCTGCTGTGAATACTATGTTTCATTCTCAACGGAGGTGCGTTACCTCAACCTCAGCCTTTCTAAAGTGTTATATATTAAAGCACCATTGAGACTATCACACTAAATAACTGCCATCCTCCCTCCCACTCCATCCACAGTCAGTAGTGCCCTGTAGTATGCACTGTAGGTTTTATACGTAAATATGCTATCATGCTACTTGAATGCTCTAACCTTTACTCAGCCTATTTAGTATAACAAAAGGCTGGTATGAGTTTGTTCTGTCCACACAAAGTTTTCCTCGTGCTGCTGGTTTGTCACTTTGTGTGCTTGTCCACGTGTGATTACAATGTGTGTCCGTCCATCATGTCACAGATTGCTGTCTATTAGAAGCTTTTCTCATTTATAACAACCGTCATTAGTTCACCTCTAACACCGTGTAACGCCAGGCTTAAACTATATTTCCACGTAGTTATTTTTTAAGCTAAATATCCTTAAGTACTTCATATTTAAGCCCTTTATTCCATTTTTTGCATTTTTTAAATATGGGATTAAATATGGATAATACAGTGGCTGACAACGGCAAATGCACACAAACAGCCCCCACCAGGACTAACCACTGCACCTGGAGGGACAGGGCCTTTTCCGTTGCTGCTCCCACCTTCTGGAACTCACTCCCTAAAGACTTCAGAGACTCCTCCTCACTCTCCACCTTCAAGAAAACCCTTAAAATGCACATTTCAAAACTGCCTACAACCTCTAAATTCAGTGTATTTTGCCCCTTTCTGCATTATTTCTCTCTCTACCTGCCAATGGATTTTTTTTTTTTTTTTGATCGTGTTGTTGTTCTCTGTAAAGCATCTCTGAGTATCTGGAAAAGCGCTATGTAAATCCAATTTATTATTAATAATATCATTATTACTTCTCTATTAGGAGAAACATGCTGCAGCTTCGGAAACAATGCCAATGCCAGAAACTTCCTGTAAATGAAAAAATGTGCTGCAGATAGTCAAACAAAGTCAGTGGCCCTCGGTGCCACCCTTTAGGTGTGAGGTATGAGATTCACAAGGCGATGGCACTTCTTGATGCTCTGAGCAACTGCAATAGTAAAAAGAGAAAGTCTGCAAAGGGTGGGTGAGAGTGAAGGTGTGTGGGTCAAACAATCTCCGGACTTTCACACAGAAGACTGCTGTCTGTCTGAAATCAAAAGTCAATGGACTTATTTCAGTAACAATGTAGTTTGCTAGTATTATGCTAATGATATATGACATTTGTGACGAATGTCACCTGACGTGATGTAATGTTAGTAACAAACACACATATTTTGTGCCAAACCGTTTTGAAGCTTCTTTTTTTTTTTTTTAAAGATATGTTTTTGGGCATTTTTGCTTTTAATGGATAGGACAGCCAAGTGTGAAAGGGGGAGAGAGAGGGGGGGGGGGTGACATGCAGCAAAGGGCCACAGGCTGGACTCGAACCCAGGCCGCTGTGGCAACAGCCTTGTATGTGGGGCGCCTGCTCTACCACCGCCCCCCAAGTAGCTTCTAAGTTTATTTTGAAAAGAGACTGTATGCATGAGTGGAAATGAGTGGAATGAGTGGAAACTGTAGGCCCGCATTTCCCATGAAAACAGAACTTTATTTTGAAAAGACACAATGCATATAATGTGTTTAAATTGACATGTCTTCCTTGAGCATCCAAAAGTGACCCAGGAGAGGTTACTAAAGCAACATATTTTGACATGTAAGGCCACTGACCGTTGGTATTAGATGGGTTGGGAGTGTACATTTGCAGCGTGCTTGCTGCTGATGTATTTGTTTTGCTGCACATTTTTTCATTTGTACCATATTTCAATGATATTTGTTTCTCGATTTTCGGATTTGTTTTTGAACTGGCACTGTTTCTGAAGTTGTAGCACACTTCTCGTAAGGGAAATGTTTTGTTTTGTAGTACGTGTGCCCTTGTCAGCCATTCTACAATAGTTTTTTCAAACATTTGTTATATGTGCCTATAAATCCTTCATTTCTCAAGAAATAAAACAAATCAAATGGGAAAAAAATTAAATTAACTAAACAATAAATGAAAGTAAATATCTACTAAAAATGGTTCCAGACTTGTATAAAATATTCAGCTGCTTTAACGTCAATAAATTCAAATTCATTCACAGAATTAATGAGCTGAATTTTGGCTTAAGTGTGAAATAATCTTTATTAACACTGATTCCTTCAATCCTTCAACTGGACTGACTGAACTGAAAGCCACACTGTGGAGCAGGGTTTCACCATCAAACAAAAACAGTAAATGACAAATTAAATTCTGCTCCCATTTAACTGTGTTTCTCTTTTTCAGGATTGAACTGCGCTCTTTAGGTAAGATTGAAGAGGGAGAGGAGCTGACAGTCTCATATGTGGACTACTTGAATTTGTCAGAGGAGAGACGAAGGAAGCTGAAAGCACAATACTTCTTTGACTGCACGTGTGAGCACTGCAAGAACCACACCAAAGACGACTTAAAGCTGGCAGGAAGGGAGGTGGACGGAGTCAAGGTTTGTGTCTCTGTACATGTTTGTCTTTGTGTTGATTTTATCGTTGAGTTTCATGAACCAGGAGATTAATTTTTGTACTGCACAAGGCAGGAAAGGACAAAACCCTCTCACTACATGTACAAGTACTGACACAAGTGATAAGGGCAGACGAGAAACATGAGACGCAGAGCCGCAGTGACTATTTTAAGCAAAGATAACCCTCAGTGGATTCAGCTTCCAAACTATGTGTAACGACGTGCATTCACCCATGTGTAGGTGTAGATTTTTCAGGGAACACGTCTCCCTCAATATTTAGAACAAGTGCCTTTGTCCCTCCCAATAAAAACATGAAAGGACTTTTACTTTAAAAAACATAAACACCAATGGATGCAGAAAGGGCACAAATTGGTGCATAAAATATTCACCAGAATGCAGGAAATTAAATGTTCAATGCTCAAAATTTTCTGGCTGAGGCCTCCAAACCTCCTGTTTCATAGAAAACATACACCCTCATGTGAGGTAGAGAAAAAAAAGTACTTGAAGACAATGTTTTACCACGTGGCAGGAATTATTATCTTATCCATTTTATATTCTATCGTTTATAGTTTAACTGGTGCAAACGATCAGTACCATTTAATACTCTGAGATGTGTAAATCAATGCACGACACGCCATAAAAGTGGAGCAATTCCTTGTCCTTGAATGATACGGCTTGACATTATCTTAATCTGTGAAACACACACACACACACGCACACACACCACATACACTGTGTAGTGTATTGTAGATTGTAAGTGTGGGTCAGAAGTTATAAATAGCATGTGTCAGGAACTATCAGCAGAAAACAAGTTCAAGGAGTGTATTGGTTTATTTTAAACTATATAACTTTGATGTGTCGACCACAGCTGTTATGATATGCCAACTCTGCATGCCTGATAATGACCATAAAAACTATGAATTGTCTTTTAATCATATATGAGAGGAAACTGTTAGCAAAATACACATTCAAGTCTTGGACAGGACCCAATCAGCAGGTCAAAGGTCTTCTTAAGATAAAAATTATCAGGCCTTTGCCTTTATGGACTTAGTCAAGGCAACCCTGGGTTTCTCAAAAGAAATAGTGTGTACTCTTGCATGGTGATGTTTGCACAAGATATTCAAGTTTTTGCCCCTATTCCAACATAGAATAGAATATATCTTTATTGTCCACCATGGTCGGAAATTTGTCTTCTGCTCACCAAACACAAAAGACAACATTGTAAAGCAAACAGTCAGTAAGGCAAGCAAATAGTGTCATTATAAAACACGTAACACCTTAAATCAGCACATTGTCTGTCTGTTGTTTAAAACTCAATCAATCATCTGGTTGAGTTAAGGATACTGATGGCACTCGGGATGAAGGACTTCTTAAATACATTTTTGGTTGCCAGAGAGACTCTATAGCTCCCTCTTTCATTCCTTTGACCATATTTAAAATGTCAGCAGTGCGAAATTTGCACATTTAAAAACCTGTTAATATCCAAGTCTTTCATAATGTTTGAAAGAAGGTGTGTTTCTTCTTTAAACCAACAATGTGGGCTTTTCTTTTGGGCATGCATCTCTACCCCAGCCTTGCAAACTGTTCAAGTGTACAATGCATCCATGAAATAACACTGAGCCCACCATAAACAGGCAAAAGGCTATGTGCTGCTATGTGCAAATGTGCTGTAAACATGCCCAAACTATGCTCCTAAAGCCTGAATAACACCAGCATATCACATATGTCTTAAATTCAGAATAGTGTAAAAATTAGAATGATGGTGGAATATTAGAGTGCATGTCAGTGTGTTACGTGATGAGTGGTGCAACAGTTCTTGATTCCCTCATTAAAATGTGATCAATGTGTCCCATAGCCTACAGAGGCAGAGGTGAAAGAGGCAACAGATTACTGCTATCAAATGCTGGAGAAGATGGACAAAGCTCGATTAAATGGAGACTACCATGAGGTATTGTGTCAAATCATTTACAACACTAACAGAACACAGATTAAGTAGCTCCATAAATATATATTTTTGTTATCACACAACAGAATTCAAGCCTTACTTCCTTTTTTTTTTCCTCGCCAGTGCTCTATCCTACTTCCATGTTTTTTTAAGATTTTTCTTATGTTGTTTGTTTCTCTTCAGGTGGTAAAAATCTGCAAGGAATGCATAGCGAAAACAGAGCCCGTTTTGGCTGACACTCACATCTACCAGCTGAGGATATGGAGCACACTGAGTGAGGTGCAAGCTTACCTGCAGTTCTTCAATGATGCTGCAGATTACGCCCGCAAAATGGTGGACGGATACGTGTGAGTGCAGAGATACTGAGATATCTGGTGTGGTACACATAAGGCTCTATTTCTGTCCAGTCATTATGATAAACACACTGAGTCTCTAGTGTAAAAAACAATCAGTTAATAACTACTCAAAAAAAAAACAAATATCTTCCCCTGACAGGAAACTGTACCACCCAAACAATGCTGCTCTCGGTATGGCTGCACTGCGAGCAGGAGTGGCGCACTGGCAAGCTGGGGAGATTGAGGTCGGCCACGGGATGATCTGCAAGGCCTATGCCATTCTCATGATCACCCACGGCGCAACGCATCCCATCACCAAGGACCTGGAGGTAAATGCCTAAACTCAACAGCAATGTCTTTTTCCAGAAATCATGACCTGGTTACTCAAAATAATCCACAGACCTTGTTGTGAGCAGTTTCATGTTGGAACTATTTTTGGTCTACTGAACTACATCCACCTTTTCTAAAAAAAATTCCAATCATGTTGTACTGTTTTTGGGCATTTTTTAAATTATTAAAAAGTGAAGGCAACTTGTATCAGTGTTTATGATTTATACTACACTAACGTTACTATTAACTATGCATATTCAGTGTAACTCATCTAGATTCTTTCAGTACTTGTAATAGATCTAGATGCAACAGCCTCTGTCATGGTGATTTGTCTTGTCTTTATTTACACGATTTAGCCATTCTGCGGGTGTGTTTTGTGGTCTGGAAGTGTTTCGCCACAACGTTACGTTGCACATCATGTTAAACAGTTGGGTCCATGTCATTGCAGGCTCACGGCTTATGTGTTTGTCACTTTCTTTTTCATTTTAACCCACACCATAATCTTTTCCTGACCCTAACCAAGTGGTTTTTGTGCCTAAACCTAACCAGACCTTAACCACAGGGCATCATGATGATTTCGAAACGGACTTCGGAACAATGAGTTTAATATGGTCGAACCAATGGGCTGTCGAACCAATGGGCAGTTCCCAAACAGTTCAACTCCACTTTCATGCAGAACATCAGGGTATTGCCTGGCAGTTTTTAGCAGTCATTTTTACTGGTAAATGTGAGACATTTGTGTTGCACGTCTGCATCTTCAAAACCAGAAACAAGGAAGCCGGTTTTGTGGTCTCACAAAATTTCAAGGATGTGCAGAAAAGATTGGTTGAATTTGAATTGTTATGATCACAACATCCTTGAGGCTGACCATAGCTAACTTACAAGTCAACGTTTTTCGTGCTGATGTGTCCTTCCTGATATGTCCACAGGCGATGCGCATGCAGACAGAGATGGAGCTGAGGATGTTCAAGCAGAACGAGTACGTTTACCACAGTATGAGGGAGGCAGCTCTGAAGAACAAACCAATGACCATGATGCATGAACCCATGTCTGTGGAGGAGGGAATCAAGAATCTCTTCCACCGGAGGAAGTAAACCGATCAAAAGAAACTCCTGTTTACTGTCAACAGTTTTCTGAGTGTTGGTGTGTGCGTCTACACATTTAGTCACATGATCATTTTCTGTTTGTCACTTTTGTAGTTACGCTTTTCATTAAAATGATGCCACTTCAAACTTGTGCATTTTGTTTTTAATACTCCGACTACACTTCACTACAGAAATTCATAATGTAGAAAGACATGTTTTTTCTTAAATATGCACTGAAAGTACATCATTAGCAGGAACACAAAGTCCTTAAATTACACTGTGTTCTTGTCAAATGGTTGGTTCCAACTGTGTCCCAGAGCATCAATAGTATTTAATACTTAAACCCTGAATAAGGCAAAGTTTTAACTCCCAAACACTCAAGAATGCCTCCAGCTTTTTAACACTTGTTGCCTGCACACGTGATGAAAGTGATGTTTCATTGAGATTGTTTATCCTTTGTTTGAAAGACTTTTAATCCCAGTACTCCCCTTTCAATACACCAACCCATGGGCTTTTCTTCTGCATTCTCAGCCCAAGGCTAATTTTGCCCCTTTCCACACACATAGTTTACCTGCGTTATTTAAGTCACACTGCACTTCTGCTCACCCTGGGTTGAATGTCAGTTGAAGCACGTTACTCATGTAACATCTTAAAATTCTATTGCTTATGTAGCGCCATGTCACACTGACAACTTTTAGACCCACCTTGTGACCTCCAGAGCAGGACCAGCAAACCCTTGCTTAAAGTGACAGTTTGAAAAGCCTGCCAGTGTACTACAGTCACCGTTACACCTGGGCAGTGGCACCCCCAGGATTTTTTTTCCACAGGGTGGCCAGATGGAGGTACTGAAAATCTTTAGGTGGCACACCAAAACCAAAAGCTGTAATCACATTTCAGGAATTACTGTTGAAGAATGGGCAAGTTATAACAGTCAGGAGTTATGGAATTGCAAACTGATATACTTGGTTTCTTGTCTTGCAGCCAATTTTACTTAAAAATGTGTATAGACCATTAGACCATAGACAATTTCAGAGTACAAAACAAGTTTGATATTAACTGTTTGAGTATGTAAAGTGGAGCCAAAATTAAAGGGGGACACATTTTACATTGGTATTCAGTCTCTCCAACTTTTACACGTAATGTAGTGTGGCCCAAAGGGTTTAGACAGAGGCATTTTATGGGAAGCAGTGTGTTTGACAGCTGAAACCCATCTGGTGAAAGTAACCTTTTGAAAAGCCAGAAAACTATTGCCAAACTAGGTGTACAAGCTGAATACTGTTGGAGCCACTAGCTTTTGACTGTAGGCAGCTGCTGGGTAAAGTCCCCACACTTATCAGCAGGTCGTGCCTCGACTCCCTGCACAGGTCACCACCCCTTTTCTGTAGAAAGTCAGACTACCACTGCTGTCCACTGGGTGTTTCTGCACCCTGTTCCATTTCAGCTCAACTCTCCAGCATACAAATCTGCAAGTCATACAACTGGCAGCCCCCAGTTGTCAGTTTCATTCATCTTGTGAAGCTTTCCACTTCCAGACATGGTCCAATTCTATACTGTCGCTTCCTCTGTTGAGGAGTCACAAGCCATGTGCAGACGTGGTGCGCAATTCTAGTTTTTGTACAATTCCAACAAGAGTTGAAGTAGCCCCTTAACACACATTTTCTGTTATGTAATCAGTTCACTCAACTCCCTGCAGTCAGGAAAAGTGACCTTTCAAGTCTACACACAAAAAAGCTACATCACCATATTGATTAACGGCTCATTTGATGTTGGAAGTGACACCTGCCAGCATCTAGTTTGACATTCAGTGCCAGTTTAGTTTAAAGAGACAGAGACAGCTGTGCCTTTTTATGTTTTATTATCCCAAGTGCACATTTACACACGTTTGCTTATCCTCTTGTATACAATGTTGCCAAGAGTCATAGTCTGAGGGGAAAAAAAAAAAAAAAAGGAATGAAATTATAAAGCTGAAGAGTCTTGCAACACTGAATTGCAGAAATTAGATTTGTCTACTCACATTGGCAATCGTGTTCCCATCCACCAGTTCTGTGACGGACTCGATTCCCTTCAGGGAGACCTTCAGCTTGTTGCCATCACGATGAACCACCCCCTTTTATAGAGGCAGATTAGGTTAATTTTTTAATTCAGGAAGTTATGCAATTCTTGACCAGTGTTCAGTAATTTTTGGGGATCATTTTTTAAATGAATCACTAAATTTAGTGTCAGCTCTTACCTTGGCCTTCTCCCCAGTGAGGGTCTCCAGCTCTGCCTCCTTTCCAACGGTGAAGGTGTTGACAATGACCTTTGAGCCAGTGGTGATGGTCACTTTGAAGTCGTCACCGTTCTCCTCAATCTCAGAGATGCTCTTAATGTCTTTGCCTTTCTGGATGAGCTCATCAGGGATACCTTAAAGTAGAAAAGCAACTGCGTAAGAAAACTTAATGTTGCATTTCCTTAACTGACAGTTTAACAAATTGGCTGACTGTAATTGCCAACACTTTCCATGTTCCAACTTTGTCAGTGAACAGCCTGGTAACACAAACACTCTTAAAAAACTATAGTATAAACACTTCTAAAGCTACTGATTTTAAAACATTTATCAAAGAAAGTTTAAATCTTACCGATGGCCTTCATGAAAGGCTCAAAGTTCTCCTGAGACTCCAGCTGGTACTTTCCAGAGAAAGACATGGTTGCAGACAGAGAAGGTAAGAATGAGAAGTGGCTTGCTGCCTGTTTTATACTCTCACACTGGCAGTGCTGCAATCATTAACCCCAGGTGTCTCAAATTAAGGCAACTCCAGCCCACTTCAAGATCCACCACAACAGATAAGAGAGAGATAAAAGAGGTGCAGGGTGACGAGACTGAAGTTAGACAACCATTAACGCAGAGGTGAAAATAGTGTGTGCAGTATTTTGAAGTCAAAATGCTGGTCACTTGTGGTTCATGCATGGAAAAAGAATGTAATGATCTCATTCAGAGTCACACGAACATCTGATGACACTGCACGAATCGAACCTCTAAAAGCTGCTGAGTGGACACACTGCTCAGGTTTGCTTTCTTTCCTTCCTCCACTTTCTGTTCCTTCTTTTCATCCTTTCTCTCTGCTTTCCCCCTTTTGTTTTGTTTAGCCAATTCTTTCATAACTCCCCTTCTGTTCTGTTCTAAATTCTTATATACTAAGTTTTCCTTGTCTTTTTTCGGTGCACCTCTATGTGAAATAATATCTAAGATGAAGTTTTACAGAAGACATTTTTTGTCTTTGAGAGCTGAATGTCATACTTTTTAAAGTTTGCCTGCAAGCAATTGAGGTATATCAGGGGAAACATTTTCCCTTACTTTGTCTATAACAGAGAAAACACAGATAACATTTTGAAAAGAAAAAAATGAATTAAGGTTTCATATATTCGTGCAAAAAAAAAAAAAAAAAGGATAAAAACTTTATAAAAATCAGATAAAGGTTGCTCTTCATTCGAGGTTAACAACTGGCAGTTTTCCACCACAACGTTCCTGTTACTTTCACAGTGCTCCTGCTCTAATATACACATTTACGATACACACATATAATTGTATACTTTATTATATGTTTTATACTTTATAACAAGGTTTTCCAGTTGGCACCAGACATCTCTATGACTTCAGAAAGGCGTTGGACTCTTACGTCAAACAGAAGCTCTAGAAAATGTAATTATTCTACGCCAAGATGCGATTAGCATGAGACATTTGAAAGATGTTGGATTTTGGTTACTTAACTACAAAGCCTGCAAAATATTAGTGTCATCTGTGGTCAGTATTTTTATTTTTATTTTTTTGTAATTTACTTTTTTATTGGAATTTAACATTAAACTTAAACTGTATGCGTACATCCGATGTTCAATAAAATGAAATAAAATAGAATAAAATAAATAAAATAATAAAAATAAAAAATAACAAGGGAAAAGTATGAACAGTTAGGGAGCAATCTTTCCTTACAATATACTCAGTGATTTGAAAAAATAAAATCAGGCCTATGGGGTTTTACATAATTGACCCATTTTTGTCGTCAGAATTTTATGTAAAATCAACTTTGGCATCACACATCCTGACATTCAATTTGGTTACCTGACTAAATTCATCTTATATTTAGCCAAATATCAACGTCTAATGGTGTTAGTGGCCGGCTGGGTTTAGCACTGACATATGTCTTCATTTAGCTGATGAAACTCCTGTTGCAGCTCATAGTGACTTCATAACCTCATTACAAAGGTACTTTACTCAGGTGATCAGGGCACTGTTTAAGATAAGATATCTAAAAAAAAAGATAGCTCTCATAGAGCAGACTGAGATACAACAAAATGATGGAGACAGGCATTATGTCAATAATCTGTCATCAGTGTTTCCCAGTGATAATTCTTCAGTCTGCTGTGTTTATATTTCATTTGTTCACTGTTCACCTCGAGCACTGAACTAGAGCTGATTACTATGAAGTACAAAAAATTGATCAAAGGTGAGTGACGACTGTATAAGATAACCGTCGTAGCTGTTGCAACAGTGACATTGTGTCACTGGTGTTGCCACGAAAGCACACATACACACACACACACACACACATGTGAGTGTGTGTGCTTTCATGTGAGGATCCTTTGGATTCACACAGAGGACAGATACAGGATTATGCAAAACCGAACATCTGAAAAGATAAAGATGGCTGTGAGCTTTGTACATTTGGTGATAGTGGAATATAGTGTAACACTGCAGCCTGATAAGCTTTATGCTGACTTGTTCTTTCCCGTATAGTGAAAATCATTTAGAGGGTTTGAAACTGTCTACACTCAGTGAAGTTTTTATGAGTTTCAGTCCGTAGAATAATACAAAAAACAACAACGTATACTCTCTCAAAACTTTATTTCAACATGCAGATATCTGGATGACCACTGTCAGTATTCATCCCTATTTTCATACATAAAAATATATTGACAAAGGCACTCTACAGAAGGGGAAAATGACAAACATAGATATACAGCTATATGAACTACAACTACAAGTCCCATGTTGACTCTACAACTGAAGAGTTTCCCATGAGACCTCTGCGCCAGGAGCAGCTCATTGGTGAACTCTATGAGGAGAAGTGTGACCGGCCAGATGCAGGAGCCTGAGGATGATGTCACCGGGG